ACAAACAAGTGAAGACGAAGACTGTGACATCACTCCCCCCTCCCGGTAGGCGTGACCTCACGCCGTAACATCAGCGGGGAGGGGGGGTGGGCGCCCTGGAGGCTGTGGAGGACGTGGTCAGGCGCAGGCAGCCCCCCAGGGCGGAGCAGGATGAGGGCGTGGCCAGGGCGGAGCAGGATGAGGGCGTGACCAGGATGGAGCAGGATGAGGGCGTGGCCAGGGCGGAGCAGGATGAGGGCGTGGCCAGGGCGGAGCAGGATGAGGGCGTGGCCAGGGCGGAGCAGGATGCGAGGACCCTTCGGGTGGCCACGGCGGAGAGAGCCCTTCAGGAGGCCGTGGCAGCGAGAGCCCTTCGGGCGGCCACGGCGGTGAGAGCCTTTCCGGCGGCCGTGGCGGTGAGAGCCCTTCGGGCGGCCACGGCGGTGAGAGCCCTTCGGGCGGCCACGGCGGTGAGAGCCCTTCAGGCGGCCGTGGCGGTGAGAGCCCTTCGGGAGGCCACGGCGGTGAGAGCCCTTCGGGCGGCCACGGCGGTGAGAGCCCTTCAGGCGGCCGTGGCGGTGAGAGCCCTTCGGGAGGCCACGGCGGTGAGAGCCCTTCGGGCGGCCGTGGCTGGGACACTGGGCCCCCCCCCAAAAAATATTTGGGTTGAGGCCCCGGGTGAAGGGCAGATGGGGAGTGGGTGGTCTCGGGCTGGACGGTCTGGACGGTCTCGGGCTGGAGGGTCTGGACGGTCTCGGGCCGGACGGTCTGGACGGTCTCTGGCCGGACGGTCTGGCCGGTCTCTGGCTGGACGGTCTGGCCGGTCTCTGGCTGGACGGGCTGGACGGTCTCTGGCTGGACGGGCTGGACGGTCTCTGGCTGGCCGGTCTGGACGGTCTCTGGCTGGACGGTCTGGACGGTCTCTGGCTGGACGGTCTGGACGGTCTCTGGGGCTGGTCTGGTCGAGCCCCGCGAGGAAGAGAGCTCGGGCTCGGAGAGACTGGACGGGACCAGCAGTGAAGAGCATACAGTCTCCGGAGGGCTGGACGGAACCAGCAATGAAGAGCATACAGTCTCTGGATGGCTGGACGGAACCAGCAGTGAAGAGCTTACAGTCTCTGGTGGGCTGGACGGAACCAGCAGTGAAGAGCTTACAGTCTCTGGTGGGCTGGACGGAACCAGCAGTGAAGAGCATACAGTCTCTGGTGGGCTGGACGGAACCAGCAGTGAAGAGCTTACAGTCTCTGGTGGGCTGGACGGAACCAGCAGTGAAGAGCTTACAGTCTCTGGTGGGCTGGACGGAACCAGCAGTGAAGAGCTTACAGTCTCTGGTGGGCTGGACGGAACCAGCAGTGACGAGCGTTCAGTCTCTGGATGGCTGGACGGAACCAGCAGTGAAGAGCTTACAGTCTCTGGTGGGCTGGACGGAACCAGCAGTGAAGAGCTTACAGTCTCTGGTGGGCTGGACGGAACCAGCAGTGAAGAGCATACAGTCTCTGGAGAGCTGGACGGGACCAGCGGTGAAGAGCATTTAGTCTCTGGAGAGCTGGACGGAACCAGCGGTGAAGAGCCTTTAGTCTCTGGAGAGCTGGACGGAACCAGCAGTGAAGGGCATTCAGTCTCTGAAGAACTGGACGGAACCAGCGGTGTAGAGCATTCAATCTCTGGAGAGCTGGACGGGACCAGCGGTGAAGAGCATTTAGTCTCTGGAGAGCTGGACGGAACCAGCGGGGAAGAGCCTTTAGTCTCTGGAGAGCTGGACGGAACCAGCAGTGAAGGGCATTCAGTCTCTGAAGAACTGGACGGAACCAGCGGTGTAGAGCATTCAAACTCTGGAGAGCTGGACGGGACCAGCGGTGAAGGGAGGTTCGGCTCGGGAGGGCTGACGGTGCGCGCAGGCTCGGCAGGGCTGACGGTGAGCGCGGGCTCGGCAGGGCTGACGGTGCGCGCAGGCTCGGCAGGGCTGACGGTGAGCGCGGGCTCGGCAGGGCTGACGGTGAGCGCGGACTCGGCTGGGCTGACGGTGACCAGAGAAGATGAGGGTTCAGGGGTTGGAGTGGTGCTGGTGACTTCTTCCACGTAGAATGGGGATTCACAGCACACCAGCACCCACTCCACACAGGCAAGGAAGTCATCGGCTGGACCGCTCCCTGGGAGGCGTGCCCGGGTCCGCTCGCTGAGGCTGGCGATGTAGAAAACACACAGCGAGCGGTCCGGGTAGTGGGTGTGGAACGCCAACTCCAGAAAGTCCCTGGTATGGGACTCCAGGGAGCGGTCTTCCTGGTCCAAACAGAGGAGGCTCACCGCTGGAAGGTCCATCACTCTCAGTTAAATCTTGGTCAGTCGATCTGTCACGGGGTGTGGTGCAGGGGTGCAGGGGTGCAGGAGTGCAGGACGAAGGAGCGGGAGGAATCCAGTTTAACATTAACATGCGGGTTTATTTAAACATACAGGCAGGAAGGCAGGGAAACAGGAGCAAACATCGGGTAACATTCAACATCGACTGACAAAGACAGACTGAATAAGATGGAACTAAATAGACAGAGGAATCAAACTAAATGGAGTGCAAACAGGTGAAAATGATGACGAGCAGACGAGGAACAGGTGGCTGATGAGGGAGTGAGATCAGGAGAGGAAACAAAAGGATCCGGGGAAGCGTGGTGCAGATGACGAGACAAACAGGTGAAGACGAAGACTGTGACATATATATTACACAATGGTGGAAATTAAAAGGTCAGGTCTTAAAGGGTTAGTTCACCCAAAACTGAAAATTATGTCCATAATTACTCACCCTCATGTAGGTGTGCTGTTTTAAGTGAAATGATTTGAATGTCCCTCAAATACTCTCTTTCTGTCACCCTCACACGGAAGACACCTGTTGAAGTGCTCCAGAAATTGCTCTATTAATTTCAAAACATGTCTTTTCAAGGGGGATTTTTTTGCGACATCTTTGATAAGTAAATTGTATATGTTTATTCACACATCAACTTTGTCTAGTTTTAATGTAAATTGAGAAAATATTAAGGTTTCCATATGACAACGCTGTATGGATAAACAGTGGAGTAATGTATTTCCCCATTTTTTTATTATTTTTTTTTTCATAGATAGTAGCATCAACAATATGATTGCAGTTATTTATTCATTTGAACTGTTTATTGTAGTATAGTTGTATTTATGTACAAATAACATGATTTCTTCTTTTTAGTAAGTTAAAACATATGCCTGATGAAGGTCGTGAGACAGGAATGTTGCTAATAAAATTTTGATACTCGCAGTATTAGAGTGTGGAAGTTCCTTTTTTGTTTCTTTCCATTGCACTTAAATAGAAAAGAAGAACTACTTCTTTTCTATTCTTAACTACTCGAAAAACGGCGCTATACTACGCACATGGCACCTGTTATCGTTAATATAACACGCGCTGTGAGGGCTAAGTTAAGGAATGGGGTAAAGTCTGCGTGTCATATTCACTCTAAAGGATTTATGACGTCTTGGGTTCGCGTGTTATATTAACGATGAAGGGTGCCTAATGCGTAGTATAGCGCCGTTTTGTCATATAGCGTTTTATGTGACGCTAAAGGATGAGAATGGGCTAGTTTGTTCATACCGACAACACGGGTTGATCCTTCACCCCTGCCCAGAATTTTGAAAACTGTAGGCTTGGCCTCTGAGGGGCCACAGCTCATAAGTTCTGGTCTTTCAACCGAGGTTGTTGAGACCATCCTCCACTCCAGAGCTCCCTCCACAAGGAAACTCTATGCCTTTGAAGTGGAAATTATGCACTTCCTGGTGCGGAGAGAACCAGCTGAACCCAGTTAACTGCCCATACGTGTTATGTGTTTTGAGGAGACACCTTCTTATAACAAGTTTCCTAAATCTGCTCTGCCCAGTTAGAGTCTTAGAGGCCATCTCACTTGCTTATGTGTCGGCCGGTTTTGACTGTACAGGCCAGGAGTTTCTCTCCAAGATGTTTGTGATGTGGCAGGCTGGTCCTCACCGCACACATTCGTGAGATTTTACGACCTTGACCTCAGCTCTAATCACAACGCAAACACACAGGCCATCCCCACAGCGTTTCAATGGTGTCTTATTCCCTCTTCAGGGGACTAAGGTTGCATACGTAACCGAGACGTTCTTAGAGCTGTTGGCAGCATTGTGACAACAGATGTTCGGTTGTTGGTTTCAAACGTGTCATTGACAAGGATCAAAACAGCTGGATCCTGGAGGTGACATCGAAAACCCACCGCTGTGCCATGATACGTCATGACTTGTCTATACTGTATTGAGAAATGCATTATATTTGGAATACTTAATAACATTTTCATCATTCTGATTACCATAACATGTATTTGCTACTGCGACAATCAAATTGTATACAATTAATCTTTGCCAGTAAGGTTCATGTTACAGTATCTCACAAATCCACAAACTTCAACGAATTTACTAACGAGGTATGGTCTGAAGAAAGGTGGTTTTGGGGGTACTAGTGAGTGAGTGAGTGCAGTGATAATGCAGTGTTTTAGTTTTTGTTAATGCATTTTTTAATAAGATTAAAAATGTCAAGAACCTAAAATTTGATTAATGCGGCTGCTATTAATGGTAGGCTACCATTTAAAAGCAAATAAATGTGAGATAAAGTTGTTTCATGCTGTAACACAACATAATTGTAATAATGGGCATTATCAGTGATAATATTAATTTAGAATCAATGAAGTCGTGAACTTTATTTATGTCGTGGGGAACAAAGACAAAACACTTGCCTCTTTCCTATAGTTTTTTGAACCCATCAAGTTAAAAAAAAAATACTAATTTCATTTCAGGATAGATGAAATGTAGCCTATCTCTCAAGCCATGCAGTCAAATAAAAACACACTTATGTCCACGGGAAGACAGAGAGAACACGGTGTATGTGCGTGCCTGTGTGTGTGTTGGAGTGTTCATGATGTTGGGAGGGGGGCCCTGCTGGTTTCTAGGATACACCCATCCATCTGTTAGTGCGGGGAGTTGTTTTCAATGCGGTGCATTTTTACCAGCACTATGTAATAGAGCTCAGTTGTTCAAAACACCTGCATTACCAATGTGTAAAGTGTCTCAAATATCTCATTATCAGAATCAACAATCCTAAACACGCTTGTCTAGTGTGAAGCAGCGAAAGGAAAATTTGGAAATTATATCCCGATTTTAAAACCCGCATGTTTTCTTTGGAAATGGACAGCGTTTGAGAGAGACAGCAGAAGATCGTGTTGAGTGATATCTGCGGTGGAGAAGAGAGGTCCCTCACAAAGCCACGCACGCACACAAACGCGCTCAATCTCGCCACCGCGCGCACAGTCGCTCATCCACTTCACCGCTATAGGCATTGTTACATTTCATCCACTTCTATAATCGCGCTTTGAACTACCATGGAAGAGAACATGGAAGAGGGACAGACACAGAAAGGTATTGTATAGTGCTTTCCCTTCCATCTCCCAATTTTACATCATGCGCGCTTGTCTTTGTGTTTATGCAGCATACGTGTTAAGACTAGTGATGGTTACTGCCACTGATTTTTATTTATTTATTTATTGACGTTTTATTACTTGTGTTTTTAAAGGCTGCAGATCAATTTGCAGTGATTTTGATAAAGATCAGTACGGTTCTGTTAATTGCGGTGGGGTTTCAAATGCAGTGCTCGCGTCTTTGGCCATTCTCACTCCGCTCGTTTGTCTCATGCGTTTTGTGCTTGTCTTAATGAATAATGACGATTTGTCACCGCTCTCTTTTCTTTCTCCCACTCTTTCTATCTTTCTTTCTACCATTGGGCTGCTCTGGTTATCACCACAACGCAGCCATTACAAAACACTCGGGTCAGATTAGTGTGGCTGTTCACCGCCTTTGTCTCTTAAACTGTTTACTTTATACGATTGTCACTCATCTGATTTAAAGCTGCAGCTTTTGTAATGTGTTTGGCTTGGATGCATGTGGAAGAGGGCGCCTTGCTGCATGTATTAAGTATGAGTTATGAGAACGTGCTAAATGCAGGAATGTTGATTTGAATTTATTAAAAAATGCGAAGTTTATATACAGGTGAGAGGAGGTTTCAGATTTTTCTGATGCAGATGCTTTGTTTAGTCTTAAATATGCCCCCCACAATGTATCTTCCACTCACACGCCCACTCTCGTTTCATTTTTATATTGTTGCCGTTGGACGACCTGAAAAAAAAAAAATGGGTGGCAAATATAAGGTGGGGCTGTGGGTAGTTAAAAGAATAAGGTCGGTTGCTACGGCATGAGTGGATGTGTCATCTAAATGGTGCTATATGAGCAACCAAAGCTCTTCTTTAAGATATGTGTCATCTAAATGGTGCTATATGAGCAACCAAAGCTCTTCTTTAACGCCACTGCCATAACTGACCCACTTCTGATTGAGAGAGAGAGAAAGAGGCTGGGGCAAGAGAGAAAAGAAATCAGGGCGTCACTGAGCATTCAGAATTATCTCGTTTTTACCCATCATCTCAGAAAACAAACTGACCAGCTGTTGATCAAAATGCCATGTGTCTGTACAATCTAGGTTCAGTTAATATAAGAGAGTTTGAATTTGATTCACATAGACTTTAAATAGAATGTGCGTTGGTTTCTGCTGATGATGGTCTTGGCTGTCAATGTGAACACCCACAATGAAATGCTTTACACATACATCCTACAGTAGCTGCTCAACAGATGTGCAGTCCTTTAGCGTTTCCTGTGAAAATCAATTATTTCCACTTCACTCATGTGAGGAACCACTTCGCAATAACAGTGTTTAAAGACTGCCTGTAGGGACGGACACTGGGGGATTCTCTCAGACCCAGTCCATCTCTCTCTCTCTCTCTCTCTCTCTCTCTCTCTCTCTGAATGAATTTCCAGCCCTCATTGCTGATGGTCTCTTCTTTCGTAATGTCTTGTAGTGTGTTGAAGTAGTTATGGGGTGGCAAGAGAGAAGGAACTTGCAAAGGATTTAAGAGGAGTAGACCTGGCTGTGGATATAAAGATTTCATTAGACAAAAACTGGCTGGTTTGGGGGGTTAAGGTAGATCAATCATTCATCTTCAGCAGATGGCAGAGTGCTCTGGATTAATTCTCATCTTTAGTGTCCATAAGTGGATCAGCGGGAAGATAAGCTACCGTCACCACACCAAGCCATGCACTTCTTCCAATGGATAAAATTATGAGTTTTTGTGTCGGTACTGTAGCCTATAAATGTGGGTGCATGGTTTGTTGAGACTGAAACCATGGTCATAATATGATTTTCATTGAAATGTAGAATTGTACCACTGTAGCATTTCATTAGAACCATTGCAACATTGGTATTGGATGCAAAACTTCTTGAAGTCATGAATCAAAAAAAAAGTAATTACACTCCTATGAGTGCATAGATTAAGCCTCTGCTTGACCTGCAGGCAGTTTTTAGATGGAAACTGTGCTGATCTTGCTCTTGGGACATGCTACAGTGCATAGCAAAATTAAATACTCGTTCTTTCTCCACAGCCATCATTCAAACATTCTCATTAACTGCAGAGACTCTAATGTAGAAGGGAAATCAATTCTCTGCGCTTTGATTTGCGGGTTCATATGCTTACTAACATTATTCAGGCATTGTTGTGAAACAGCAGATTGGATAAATCATGTTTCATAAGGTCTTAGTGAATAGGTCACAGTGTCAGTCAGAACAGGATCTCCAATAGCTCTCTGTTATGATATACAGTAAGAGTGCAGTTTTAGAGAATTTCAGTTTTGAATTTCTTTTTATGTTCTCCTAATGAAAATCATTTTGTGTTGTCCTGATTTTGATGATCATAGATGGCCCAATGTTCATTGTTTTAAATAATCTAGGGTGTATTTAAACCAGTGTACTGTATGTTAATGGTCTAACAGATTCTGAGGAAATACTCGGAAAACAAAAAAACATTATGCAGATACGGACTTTTCAAAAATGAGTTTGCTTGTTTTTTTTTAAGACATGATGTCATAGAACAAAGATTTGTTTTCACTTTCAGAAAGATAATCAGTGACAGAAAAAAAGGTTTGATACTTCATTCAAGATATGAAGTATCTTGAAGTATGGATTCAGAATGAGATTCTCTGTTATTGATCTTTTTGCTTCTTTTGTTGCTTTTTCTTTGCCACTTCAAAATTGCTCATTCGAAATATGTCGCTTCTTCCTGCCTCTTGATAAATGATGTCCTCTGGGATATAAACTCTTTGATTGATGTCCTGGGCTGTTTCACTTTAAACATTTCATGTTTCATTATATTGTGCGCCTGTTGGATGCTTCAGTCAAACCTGTTTGCTTTTTAGCTTTTTAGATTATTATTGCAAACTACATTTATTTTTCAGGGCAATCAAAAAACTGTAACAAGAATGAGTTAATAGTGCCTGTGACATACTATTCTCTTCTTGAAACAACCTAGCAGTGTGCATCTATTAGTGGGTTAAAGCTATTAAACTGACACTACATCCATTCCAGTAAATGTGAAATACAATTACATGATTTGGATGAACACTACTGTAATCAAGCCATTAAGCTTTGTCAGAGTGTCCTAAAGCTGTTTTCAACCAGTATGGCAGCCACTGCGTACAACATAATACAGGCCATGTATCTGAATCAGAGCTTTTGTTCGGCTTTATTGATTTTACAGGTTTAGTTAGAAATTTAAGGTGAAATTCATGAATTAATCTGCTAATTATGTGGGATCCTAGTCATGGGGAATTCCAAATAGATTTCCAATCCTGGACAAGACATGGAAATTAATACATTTTCAATTCAATAATTTTTAAATGTTTTAAATCATATATATTTTTAATCATGAAATGCTTGAAAAATAAATAGAAAAAATGTACCTGCCTTTATTTTTCAGATTTGTGGTCATTTATGTGATGCTTTCCATTTAAAGTCCCTCTGTGGTGAAAATCAAGTTTTTAATGTTGTTTATATGTCAATGTGGTGTCCCCTATCAAGCGAATTCGCACATCTCCACATTGAGGCTGAGGCCTGCACTGCACTCTAGAGCACTGGCTTGGGATTTGGCCATTGTACTTGAGGGTCTGGTCTTGACTCCCTTTGAGGAGGTTTCAGAAAAGTTCCTTACACTCAAAACTTTGTTTCTACTTGCTATTTTTTTATCAAGAGAATTGGAGATTTGCAAACCCTTTCGGTTGCTCCTTCATGTCTGGAATTTGCACCTGGTATGGTGAAAGCATTTCTACACCCTAGACCGGGTTACATCCCTAAGGTTCCTACTAATGTTGTGGCCCCAATTTTGTTGCAGGCCTTTTTCCCTCCACTTGTGTTTTAATACCCTAGATCAGGAAAGACTCAAAAGCTGTGTCCTAATGTGAAGGCAGCCTATTAGTCCTTCGAAGGACTACATACTTTGTTAAGTATTCACGTCAGACTGATCTCATGAAGTAGCATGTGTATGACACGCCAATTCGTATTTCCATTTTTGGCGTGCTATCAAGATGCATAATCACTTTTCAGCGTGTTTATGAACGCCGTTGACTTAACATTATTACTGTATATATAAATATATGACTTACCTCAACCCCGTCCCTAAACCTAACCGTCACTGGGGTTAATGGCATTTATGACTGTTCCCTTACCATCCTGGGAAAAAAAAAGATATGACTTACCTCAACCCCGTCCCTAAACCTAACCGTCACTGGGGTTAATGGCATTTATGACTGGACATTTGACGGCGTGTACAGACACGCGGAATCACTCGGACGTTAATGGCGTAGACATACACGCGGATAGCTCAAAATGCGTAGAGATAACACGCCACTTGACTCGAAAGTGGTGTGTATGTTTAAGCAAAAGTCATGATGTCATGTTGTTCATGTAGAAATGTGAAATGTGGACATGCAGCAACACTATATGTTGTTTTACATTAAACTACTAAAGTATATTGTACAAAAGTATATAGTTTAAATGTATCAACCTTGCAAACACTCTGAGACCATTACAAAAATAATGTCCAGATCCATGAATTCTCTTTTATTTACACATTTAAAGTTGCATAAAATAAAGAAATAATGAATAATAAAGAAATAATATGTACATAAATATTTTTTTTTTCCTTTAAAAAAAAAAAACGTGAAAAAAAGTTAAACACGAATATATATGTATATCACCTCACCTGTTCTAGGACACTTGCAGTCCTAAGGCAGAGCAAATAAAGCATGCTTGTTTACAACAACAACAACAACAACAACAACGAGACAATACATTTAAACAAAGGTCTGTCAAACTGTCTTACTTTATATATAATTTTTCCTGCATGGGAGTCACCTTCCTCAGCAGGTCCATTTTCTCCAGAATTCTCCTAAAACAACAAAAAAAAAAGTCACCCGCCCATGACGTCTCACTCTTTCATAGGACTGATTATACATGTGCTTCACGACACATGGGTGTTCCCACA